CTCACGCACATTGCTGAATTGGAAAAACAACTACAAGAAGCAAACAATTGCATAAGTCAGTTGGAAACAGATAAGTTAAATTGGACTACCTCTCAAAACCACAGTCTTTTTGAGGAATTAGTCAGTGGTGCTCCGGATATGGTGTCTGCAGTATACAATATAAATCCTGCTGTCTCATTAAATTACTCATTAAGTGACACAAGCAAGATAGAAGCTGGTAGGAGTATTGAATGCAGCAGGAAAAAAATTTTTAGGAAATACTTTAAACACAATAAATTTATCAAAAAGACAAAATGTTTAATTAAGATACAAAAAAGCTATTTAAATGGCTTAAAAAATAAAGAACAGCATATAGCATTAATTGACAAGTTAGAATCATATTCCAAACAAATTAAGGAAAATCAAGAAATGTATGAATGTAATATATTATTATTAAATGATAAAATAAAGTGCTTACAAAAGTCTCTGGCAAACATTACACATAAATATAATGCATTGTCTTCTAAGAGGAGCATGAGGGAATACACACTGAACCTCAATCACCACCTGAATAATACTAACCTGGTGGATTCCCTGGCACCAGGCCTGGTTGCCTTGGAACAACTTGAATGGTCTATGTCAGTGTGTGAGCCGTCAATCTCTGAACAGCTTAGCTTCAATAATGATGTTAACAAAAAAGAAAATGTTTCTTTAAAAAAAAACAGTAATTATGTTATGTTTAGCGATGAAGTGGGAAAAGATTTGGGATACATTTCGATGAACCAGATGGGGCAAAGTGTAAGCAATTATTGTATGCCTGGCATTTCTTTCAATGAAATGTCTGAAAAAATATTAAAATTTAAGTTTAGAGAAAATGACAATTTAATAATAATTATAGGAAATAGGGAGAATGCAAATAAGAAATCAATAACAAAACTATTTGACCATCTTCAAAGTGTTGAAGTTAAAAACATTGTAATGTTTACATTTCCCTATAGTAAGAGTTTGACGCTGAAGGAAAATAATTTAAGATACAAATTAAATGTGACATTGGATAGTTTATCGTATTATTCAAACAAAATAAATATAATTGACATAAATAAATTGTCATTTGTTGATAGCAGCTTGTTTTTGAGAAAGGATAGATTGTTTCTATCTAAATTTGGTAAAAAACAATTAGCAGTAACGCTAAGCTTTTATTTACTAACTTCAGCCAAGAACTTGGCTGCTAAATCTGCTTTATTTGAGCAGTCTTCTATTATTAGGTTAGACAATGCCTTTATACAGCAGCAGAGTTCCGACAGTGCTCCCTTGGACCAAATTAGTCATGAAATAGTTGCCCCTATTGAGCAATCTAACTATGATGCACATAAATGTGTGACCCAAATTAAATATTTAAATTAAATAATAAGACAACAGAGAAGGCCTCTAGCAACCTTAAAATAGTACACCAGAATATACAAGGTTTTTCTGGAAAGAATCTAGAAATCTCTTTGTTTTTAAACAGTCAGAATATCCATGTATTATGTCTCACAGAGCATTGGTTAAAAAAAAATGAATTATTAGATTGTATTGAAAATTATAAAATTGTTAGTGCATTTACTAGGGAATGTGCAATTAGAGGTGGGTCATTAATAATGTTACAAAACAATATCAAATATAAAGAAAGATTAGACATAGTAAAACATTCCATTGAACGAACGATAGAAATTTCTTGTGTGGAATTTGAACAATTTATAATTGTGTGTGTATACAGACCCCCTTCTGGAAGCTATGATCTGTTTGAGTCTTCCATGGAAAATGTTCTTAATATTATAAGTAAAAATAACAAAAAGATGGTTGTCTGTGGGGATTTTAATTTAAATATTTTAGTTTCTAGTACATATACAAGTAGATTTACTAATTTATTTGGGTCGTTCAATCTACAATATTCTTTCTTTGAACCAACTAGGATTACCCCCCTATCAGCTACCTGCTTGGATAACATTTTCTCTGATTGCGTTTTATATCAAAAATGTATTGTTAACTGGGTGGATTCAGATCATAGTGGACAAAAAATCATTGTTGAGCGCCATAGGGTTAAACAAGACATAAAAATTACTTTTAGGCCAATAACGGACAAACGCTTAAAGGTTTTTGAAAATAATATTAAGAATAAACTTAGGTTTCTTAAAAATTCAAATGATGCTAATGAGCAATACGAATATTTATGTCAACAAATAAACATAGAATTTGCTAGCATATTTAAACAAAAAACTGTTTCTTTAAACTCTAAAATGAAATTCTGTGACTGGGCCACACCAGGTATTTACGTTAGTAGAAGAAAATTGTATGATCTATATTATGAAAAGTCTATTTCTACTGAGCAGTCGCTTATAAACTATGTCAGAAATTATTCAAAAATATTTAAAAAAGTTTGTAATATAGCAAAGGCAAATTATTTGAGTAATAAAATAAAAAAATCGGACAATAAAATTAAGACCACTTGGAACATTATTAATCAAGAAACTGGTAAAACTTCATTTAAAGATAGCTCTTTTGAAATTAATATTAATGGCAAAATTATAAAAAAAGATGCAGCGGTCGCAAATGCTATGGAGTCCTTTTTCTCTGAAATTCCTGCAAGAATCACTAGTAAACTGAATTCATCTACGCAATTCGCGCTTTCACTTTTAACGTCTAGCACAAATAAAAATAGTAGTGCATTCGATTTTCATAAAATTAACACGGATTCTATTGTAAAGGCATTTAGATCGTTGAATAAGAAGAAAACAGAAGATCTATGGGGCATATCAGTAGCTGTAATAGCACCAATAATTGGAAATATTTCTCCTTATCTAACGATTATTTTTAATAGATGTATCGATGATGGGATTTTTCCCAATCTCATGAAATATAGTAAAATTATTCCTTTATTTAAGTCTGGAGACAAATCGGACCCCACGAATTTCCGCCCTATATCAATTTTACCAACTCTAAGTAAAATATTTGAAAAAATTATTCATAATCAATTGCTTTCACATTTTAGATTAAATAAACTATTTCATGATAGACAATTCGGTTTTACTAAGGGTAGATGTAGTACGGATGCGGGTGTGGAGCTCATGAAGCAAATATTCGATGCCTGGGAAAATAAACAGGATGCTTTAGCTGTCTTCTGTGACCTGTCCAAGGCTTTTGACTGTGTAGACCATAAAACATTATTGGGAAAATTACAGTATTATGGCGTCTCAGCAAACTCAATAAAAATAATAAATTCATACTTGAGTGACCGATTACAAAAAGTGGTTATAAATAAAGCAGAGTCTTTAGGAGCTCCTATTCTCATAGGTGTGCCTCAGGGGTCGATATTGGGGCCGTTGCTCTTTCTTGTCTACATAAATGACCTGCCATTTTATGTAAATAACTTATGTGAAACGGTATTATTTGCAGATGATACATCTCTTATTTTTAAAATCAGTAGGAACGCAATAAATTTTGACGAGGTGAATGATGCCCTTTCCCGAGTTATGTGTTGGTTTACTTATAATAACTTGTTACTAAATTCTAATAAAACAAAATGTATTAGATTTTCTTTGCCTAACGTAAAACAGGTCAGTACAAACATTAATATTAATGAGGAAATAATTCAATGTGTTGATTCAACTGTATTTTTAGGGATCACTCTAGATTCTCGTTTGCAATGGAAGCCCCATATTACAAACCTATCGTCAAGACTTAGTTCGGCTGCTTTTGCGATAAGAAAGATTAGATGGTTGTCTGATGTCGAAACGGCGAGGCTTGTATACTTCAGTTACTTCCATAGTGTTATGACATATGGTATATTGTTGTGGGGCTCAGCGGCCGATATTCAAGATATTTTTGTTTTACAAAAAAGAGCAATACGCGCTATATACAAATTAAAACCGCGTGACTCGCTAAGAGAATTATTTAAAGAGATTGGTATTTTAACAGTTGCTTCCCAATATGTGTATGAAAATATTATGTACGTTTATAAAAACCTTAATAAATTTATAAAGCGCAGTGACTGTCACAATTTAAATACAAGAAGTAGGAATAGACTTGATTTTCCAGCTTTCAGACTGCATAAAACTGCTCACTCATTTATGGGGAAATGTATACACATATTTAACAAGATTCCGGACCGTGTAACCAAACTTCCGATTCATGAGTTTAAGCTTTGTATCAAGAAAACCCTAACAAAGGGAGGATATTACACTGTTCGGGAATTTATAGACGATGACAATGTGTGGGCACTAGTGCCGCTGTAAGATGAGGATAACCGAGTTGACATGCATAAGAGTACAAATGGTACCTAAATGATTAAATGACTTTATTATTATTATTATTATTAATTATTTAAGACAACTTCATTGTCTGCAAAATGAAATAAATCAAATAAGTCTATACTTAAAAAATCCGCTTACCTTTAACAAACCTTATAGGAAACAGAGTACGAATGCCCGTTTTAAATTTCATATTATGAAACGTCATACATATTATGTTAAAATGTTGCTACTACATTTTAACATATGACGTAGACTGCCTAAAGTTACTTGTAGACATTTCACAGATCTCTGTAGACCCTTCGTAGATGTCTGCTACGCAGTTATTCTGTTTGCTCAGACGCCCGATATTGAAATTGTTCTATATTGGAAGTCTCTTTTACATTCTAATCTCAATCAGTTCTTCTCAATCTACAAGACTCTACCTAAAATATATCAAATAAAATTGTAATTTGATTTGTTATAAATAAATAAATCGTTTATTTTTAAAGAAAGTGGTACATTCGGATTGAATGATTATAAAAATCCGCACAATCAGCCTAATAAAAATAGGTATTCCAATGTCTTATTGAATATCACAATGCCATAATAATAAGTCAAGCTATTTATAATTGTTGTCAAATTTATGGCCTAAATACTCGCCCACGCTATAAAGACACATTGTCTTTAAAAATTTAATGACCTTCCCTTTGAAAGCATTACACGGTAGTGATATAAATAATATGTTAAAAAAATATGAGATATTGGTTTGTAAGTGAGATTGACAGGAGTCAAGCTGATTATCTTTTGTTTACAGAAACAAAGGCTCACACACACAGCACAAATACAAGCCCATGCTGCGACTTCGTTTTCCGATTGATCACCATTACCGATAACCTCCTTATTTATTAAAATCTTAACCACTTGGCGCTTCCATGGCCGGCGGTCATTTAAAATCAGGTGAAACTTCTGTCCGTTTTATTTAAAAAAAAACATTTTTTTAATCCTCGTGTATTATAAATTAAAAAATAAATAAATCAGTGGCACTACAACCTCTTTAGGTCTTGGCCTCAGATTTCTGAATCTGTTTCATGATCATTTTTAAAATTTAATAGGCATGTAGGTGATCAGCACACGCCGTCGACTTTTTGGGTCTAAGACATGTTGGTTTTCTCACGATGTTTTCCTTCACCGTTCGAGCAAATGTTAAATGCGCACATAGAAAGAAAGTCTATTGGTGCACAGCCGGGGACCGAACCTACGACCTCAGGTATAAGAGTCGCACGCTGAAGCCACCAGGCCAACACTGCTCTGTATAAATGTAAGATGTATTATAAATTACTGTCCCATAATTTCAGGCTTCCAAGAATTGTTATATGTAATTGACTTTTATTACGTTTTCTTCTATATTAAACGGGCCGTTCTTTGATTTTTTTATGAAAAGTTAATTACTCATATATTTTCCTACTTATAGCATATAATTTTATTCCTCCTCTTATTTCAAATAAATTCGGTATACTTTACGTCATTCTCCATTTTATGAAATTTCATTTCACGCGATAATTTTTTTTATTAGTCCGGTTGACTGCGTATTCGTTGCTAACGAACTACTGCTCAATATGCGAAAGAAATATTTGCGACTAGTTTTACTACCGTTTGTAATATTTATTTAATTGCTAATGTATAAATGGAAAAAGTGATCAGAAATAAATCAATATTGTATATACTACTACTTCAGTAATTCGTTCTTTGACTATCCATTGTCTTACGCATTAAATAAGAAGCCTTTAAAATCTTGGCTTCCAAGATAAACTCGGTTCCAAACAACACTCCAAACAAAACCACTCGTAGGTTTCAATAAAACTTTACTGAGAGTAGATCTTTCAATTCAGATCCGCCGAATTGCAGATTTTAAATATTATTTGTTTATAGGAGTTATAGAGAAATAGATAATTTACCGAATATATGGGATTAACATACGCAATGAGGGTTTGAAAATGTTTAGCTATCGTAATTAAGCAATTTCCAGTTAAGAAAACTAAATTGAAACTTTATAATTACTGAAATTAAATATAACTATTTTATATATTCTGATATTTTGCGAAATTTCCGTAATTTTTCGTAGAGTTGTTGCTGGAAGAGTGTCGTTTGAGTAAATACAAGTGTAAACAAGCTTTGAATTGGAGTACAATGTTTGAATCTAATAATTTTCTAGGAATATTTATATCTGTTTAACGTTTTTTTTTCAGAGCTACTTACCGTTGTACTTCGGAGCAAACTTTGCGACATCAGGCAGCACGTTCTTGCCTGAAGTGCGACGTGGACTGATGCCCTTTCAGGCTGAAATGGTTTATATACTCGTTGGCTCCTCGGATCCTATGGGCGGCGCCAACCAGCGCATGGCTCCTCTGGCTCCGCCCATTTTTATAAAATCATGTGACGTCATCGATGACGTCTAGATATTTTTAGTTGATGAAGGTCAAAAGGGTACAGATGTCATCCCGGAGGAAACGTAAGCATTTACCTCGATAAGATTTGGAAGCTGTAAGAGCGTGTAAGGGTAGGTTAGTGACAATCATGTAAGATTTAGCATAGGTTTAAAGAAATCTGAATTCGCCACAAAAAATATTATTCCTCTGCGATTCTTTAGAAATAGTGGTGTTACAAATAACTTAACTACTAACTACAAACACCTCTGCCGTGAAAATTATATAACTTACAAGATATTTCCACGCACCCTTGCAAAACCAATTAATATAATAGATCCTAGGACCTTGGTTACAAGAGCTTTCTATTTGTAATTAATGGACAGACTCTAACTCTACAAATGTATATAAAAATTAATATAATATGTTGACTTAGTTTAGGCTAGGCTACAGGCTTAGGAGAGGTTAAATTAATTTGTAATAGAGAGCGCTACAAATTCATTCACCTAAGTATATATACCTGCCGTAGAGCATTCGTTCTTCGTTCAAGGGTTTTAATTTTTATGTGCGCAATGACAACATACTAATGTAATGACAGAAAACGTCCTGTGAAAAAACCGTCCTTATCTCAAATCCAAAACGTTGAGGACGTGTGTCAGTCTGACCTACTGAAATGAAGTCGGTCGTAGATTTTAAAGTGTTGCTAAACTCAAACTCTCAGATTTTATAAGAAAACAACAAATTGAAATTTTCCATACGTTAAGAAATAAAGTACTAACAGTTTAATGCGTCAGTCCATAAAGAGCGATAATTGTTGGCAAACTGTTAACGGGCGTGTACTCGTAAACTTCTCAAGATACTCGTAAACACCATCTCCTTTATCACCTACAATTGATAATTAATTTAATCTATCGAAGGTTTATTATCTCAATTTAGTTTATTTAAGAAGCTTTTACTGTCTTTACATGAATCACTGAATTATTTTACAAGATGAGACATAATAATACCGCACAATTATAATTATTTACACAAAACTATGTATTTCTATAAATTTAAAAATTTCACAAATTGGATCTTGTCTTATTTTAAGGATTTTTGAAGTGAAACTTCTTTAGGCGTATGAGGGTAAAATTTACCTTATAGAAATTCTATTTTTAAAATTAAATTTTCGTAAACAGAGTTTATGAAATATTAGTATTTTATGTTTTATTGAAATCTTAAATGACGAATTTAAATTCAAATGCCACGTGATTTTATTATCGAATTTGTATTAATTTTCGACACTTTTAATATTTTAATGACAATTAAATTCATTATATTCTCCTAACATATCTTCCTTTTTCCCTCCCTCTCGGAAATCTATTGTTTTAGATTTGTATAAATATGAACAAGAGTTAAAAAAATTTTTGCCAAAGAAGTTTCACTTCTGACATGTATACTTTGTACGCACGCACTTTTTTTTAAATTTACAGACAACATCTACATTATCTAGACTTGACCCAAATCGTCGCATTTGTCTTAGTTAGTAGCTCATCAGAAGTTACACTTAATATTGCCTATCGTTTATTCGTTAATATTGTACTCAAAAGGCGTTGATTATGTCGACTTAAAACTACATTTTTAGGTTACTATTCGGCTCGGATAGAAAAGCTGCTGGAAAAAATGGAAACTACTCGTACCGATGATTGGAGTCCATAATAGCGAGTTTATACAATATCCTGAATGCGTTGCTTTTTAAATGACTTACTTCCTTACTTCTCTCTACTTCTTAAACTTAGCATTATAGTCTAAACTGGGACAAAACCCTTAAACATTGTATTGGATCTTTGGTCTTAGAAATAAACATTACCATTACCATTTGTGTGGAAAGCTATGTCTATAAGTTTGATAGGCAATTAAATGCTTACGAAAGATCGTCAAATGGCAAAGCAATAGTAAGTTAGAGGCGATATAATTCGGTTTACACTCATTGCCGACGCGACGTTGCTGTTGTGTATTCTAATTATTTTGCATACGGTCTTTTGGTTCTTGCTGAATTGTAGGATAAGGATAAAACATCAGCTACTTAGAACCACTCCTGCTTAGAAAGTTCTAGAACATCGTTCAAGGTTATTCCTAGGGACAGGGATTATTATAAGTGAGCCGAAACGCGAACCATCAACTCAGTTTCAAGTGCGATACCAAGAGATTAAAGAAGATATAAAGTGCGAATAGTGTAGATTAGTGATAAAGTAGTGTGTGAAGTGGAAGTAATTGGTGACAGTATTTTGTGTTTGCTGTTTTTAGTGTAATTAAATTACTCATTGATTTATTTAAAATAAACTCTTGAAAACATGTACGGCGTTTCCAATCCCCTAGCTCGTAACAATATGAATAATTCTTAAAATATTAAAGTACGTAACAATATTTCAAGTAAGTGGGTGTGTTGGTCAAATATGTTTGATGTCCGTAAGCAATGAACAAACACGCGTGATGTTTGCGAACCAGATTGGATCAGACGTATTCGTGTAAACTTGTAATAACATCATTCGGTGTAACGATGTGCCTTCATAATGTTGCTTCTAATCTATTTTCAATTAAAATACTTTAACTATTACTATGATATAACCTAGTATTACATGTGTTTGCGTTATAGCCAATATTTAAACACGAATACTTTTAGTAATTCACTTCTCATTCCCTTTTCCTTTTTCGTGTCATACATACATACATACTGAGTAGTGTTTAACAAAAAGTGATGATCATTATGACGCAATTATCTTTTATGAAATATTATTTTTTTTCCGATTAAGGTATCTTTCATGCTAATACACTTTGTATATCGATTTTCTAAAGCTAACATACTTTTAAAAAAAATATTTTTCCGGAAAACTTAAAAAATCGTGAACAGCGGCGACTACGGCGTCATAAAATTCAAATTTGGCCCCTGAGATGTTTCTTTAATATAAAAAATACACATAGTAATCACTAGGAACTCAGTTGCATATGCGGAATGTTCCATCAATTCGAAGCCAGCTTCTTGAATGGCAGCCATCGTAACTACAAACTTATGCGCGGGGGCGTTATCTTGGTGAAACATTTGCTTACGCAACTGTGTTATTTGTCCTGGGTACAATGTCCTCCTAATAGAAGCTCCATGATAAAGATATTATTCCCACCCGTTGGCTGTCCCAGTGAAAAAAAAACATCTTACCGGCAGATGGAATCGCCTTAAATTTCTTTGGAGTTGGAGATGGTCTTTCCACCTTTGGGCTTCCAGCACGGTGACAATTTTTTTTATACCGCAATAGTTCTGTTTAATATTACGGATAAATTATTTTTTCTGCCATTAACAAACGGTAACACGTCGATCCGCTAAGACAATGTCTACAACTTATTTGTTCAGTCACTATCGACGTACGATCATAGGGTCGTTGTTAATGAAAGTTCTCCGTAGCTTAAACTCGGCACACCAACGCGCAACTTTAGAATATCTCCCCCATATTGTGGACATGGACCCCTTATGTTGCTACTAAGTCTTTGCTCTCAAGAAAATATATTTTAGAACACGATGCGAACAAATGAGAACTGTTTCCTTTTTTTAATTGTTATATCTGGCAATGTCATTAATTTTTCTTTCAAAAGAGAATGTATCGCATTATCAATGTCCATTGAATATTTCCTATATCAGTATCCCCGAATATTAGTATTGAAATATAAATAAAGAATTACCGACACTCTGTTTAAGCCAAGTGTTCAATATTCAATTAATAAACGATTAAAATATTTATATTAGAACTAGAAACCTATTAATATTTACTAAGGAACAATGAGAACGTTATGGAGTATCGTAACACAAGTTTGCTTCTAGCGAGGCGTATACGGGATCTTAATATGAATCACTCTTAGCTATATTCAGTAATTACACTCTCAATGCAAACTAATAGCGAGCCCGTTTTTACACGATTGTAATAATACAACGTAAGATGCACGCCTGCAAATTACTTTTTTATTCATTAATAGCCTACTGCGCCTTTCATTCTTTCTTTAATAAACAACAAAAACAAATCCGAAGTTAAATTTAAAAACTCGACGAACTGCTTGGTGCGGGAACGTCATGTGGTCCCGTGATTGTGCATACCCACTAAAACCCCAAGGCGCCACCAACAATTGCCTTAGGCGGGATCCGGTAACAGCAGAGCCTTATCCGCTTCCTGACATGCGATGCGGCGGTTGCGTCTGCCACTCCACGCTGATTCGCTTTTAGTAATAGCTAGGGGAGATCGGATCCAGTACTCGCAGGGAAGTATCCCTTCTTTTGAACGCATGGACTGCGCCCACCCTGCTTCCCCGCTTGAGCACTTTTTAGGTGGCGAGGATTTAGTGAGCGCGTTGCGTTTGGGCTTCGGGACAAAGCTTCCTGGTTATTTCCGCCTTTTCTTTGTTTTTCATGACGGCCTAGCAGAAATTGTAGAAAATTTTCCATGGACCGTCAATTCCCGCGCTCAATATATCTTTTACTACGTTTGGTAGTCTTGCGTCATGCTAGGCAGTCCCTCAGCGTATGCAGGGCATCGTCCCGGCTGTCTCCGACTCAGTGGTGGCAGGTTGGTGCCTTCTTCTTATAGTGCCATCTCCTTGCGAAGGTTGGCGATCATCATGGCTAGTTTGACTTTGGATGCTGCGCTTCTTAACAATGACTTGGTGCTTTGACCAAACCATTGTCTTAAGTTTTTTAACCAGGACGTGCGTCTGCGGACAGGTCTCCTTTTACCTGCCACTTTGCCTTGTATGATTAGTTGAAGGAGCTCATATTTTTTGGAGTTACGTAAAACGTGTCCGAAATACTCAAGTTTCCTTTTCTTAACCGTCATAAGCACTGCTTTGTTCTTCTGCATTCTGTCCAGCACGGTTGTATTTCGTATGCGGTCTGTCCAAGATATTTTAAGCATACGTCGATAAACCCAGATCTCAAACGCTTCCAGTTTTTTGGACATAGTCTCTGTCAGTGTCCAAGATTCTACGCCGTAGAGCAGCACAGAGAAGATGTAACATCGCGCAATGCGAGTTCTAAGCTGTAAATTTATGAGCTTGTCACAAAGTACTTTTTTCAGTTTTGAGAAGGCGTTCCGAGCTTGTTCGTGTCTACTCACACCCTACTAATCTGTGCAGATAACTACCGAAGCATCCGTGTCCGAACAGCATCTGTCATCAGCACAAGTCGGTAGCTGAGGTGGCCCCAGCGCCTTCTTACCCAATGTTAAGGGTTTCGATATTAGGTATATTGCCCGGCACTCGCGCCCACCAGCTCGCTTTCCCACTCTACTAGCATTTCTTGGTCTTCCAGTTTACGGTGGCCGTCGATACACAATCTTATACTAGAATAAGTCCTGAGTACATACCTCGTTGTAATGTCTCCTTACTAGGAAGAAAGGCACACAATAACGTCAGACGTAAGGATTTGGAGAAATTGTTAGTTTGGGAACGAAGAGAGGTAAGACTGATGATGTACCTTGCCTTACAATAATAGTTCACGAACACGCACAAAACACTCACTATAAAAGTCTAAATGGAGGACGTAACTTTTGACAAAAAATTAACCAACAGTATATATAAAAATGCATCTAACGTTACCCGAGTAAATCTCAACAAACACTAAATGACAAAAAATGTGAGGATCGGCCGAGTAAAAAGATTTTTTTTAGATCACCCTCATCAAATTTAATAAAATTAAAATTATGTATTTCGAACAGTAATTTTTACTGTTATAAATTATGTTTTATCATTAATTAAAAATTTAAACACAAATAAATTAGAGACAATAGACGAGAAACATTGTTATAGCATTTTTAGAATGTCCTCCCTTACTTATCTCATTTGTTGCAAATGAGAATATACGGATAATTGTTTTTAGTATGGCATGGCATTGGAATTTTGTAGAAAGTTCAGACCCCTATGTTTTTTTTTAAATTCGTGCTGTCAATCACGTAAATCGATTATAAAGTATATTTTATCTTATCGGTAAATTTTAAATATTTATTATAATCAACATATAATATAATATTTTTATATGATTTTCTCTGCATCTAGATATCAGGTTATTAAAGAAAACAACGTTCGGAAAACTAGTAGTGGATTGCCCATTCTCGTTTCCTTTTCTGTTTATATCTCAGCTTAAAAAGTTACATTTACAGATGAACGTAATGAAACATTTCATATTCGTCATCCGTGCGGAATGGGTATAATATATTTATCAAAGATAATATGGATATACAAAGCGATAACATGGCGATAAAGTGGTAGCCGTTGAACGCGGATACTCGCTTTCTGAGGATTACCGTAAGTAAGTAGGTACATAGTTTATTTATTTTCTAATATTTAAAAATAATAATTTGTTAAAGTAATAAAATGTATCATAGAAAAATATTAAATCTTTTGCTTGAATGATCTGCGTTTACAACGACATTCAAACGATTACTATTTATATTAGCAATTACAAGCGGATATTATTTAATGATGAAACATTTATGTAAAAATAATTTAGGGAAACTAATGACAGTAGGAGATCTAAACGTGGGGCTTGTTTTTCATTTTTCCGTTTATAAATTTTGTTAGGACGATGAGCAAGATAATCAACATATTGGTAATGACTTATTCTACAGAAACATGACGGAGGCGGTGAGGTACAGTCGGGCAGAGGTGGCCGAAAAGACGGGTCGTAATGCGGCACCAGTGTGGATCATATACAAGGACTCCGTCTATGATGTTACTAAATATGTTGCTGAAGTTAGTCCAAAACCCTTAATTATTTGCCAAAGACCCACCAAACTAACAGACTTCGCTCGTACTTGAGGTCGAAGGTTCGAACCTCGGCTGTGCACTAATGGACTTTTCTATTTCCTCTTGTAACACAAGCTTGTACCGTGAAGGAAATACGGCGGATCATCTACTTGCCTATTACAAAAAAGGAAGCACCACTAGGATTTTATGGTCTTTTTAAGAGTCCTTGAATTACAGCATCAAAATTTAATTGTACTTACCCTTTTTTGTTAATCTTATTAAATGCACAATTCAGGAAAGTGATTATTGGTAAGAATATTACAAAATATAACCTCATTATCGATTGACGGTTAAAGTGAATAGAGTTATTTTTTATCAATATTACAATATACAGAGTAAACTATTAATCAGAGATTATCTTTCCTTGTTATATTATGTTAAAAATATTTTTTATAATTAGGTCACTTACTGCCCTATCAGGAATTAAATTTTTGTTCAAGTTTGCTGATATATAAAATTTAATGAATCTACTATTAGATAGAGATAGATAGTTTAATGGGCGACTTGAATAGCCGTACACAGCACGGCAGTTAGACAAGTAAAAACATACGTGTCGAATAAGAAACCTCCTTCTTCGGGCTTTTTGTAGTCAGCTAAAAACGAATATTCGCAGCATCCCGGCGGCCCCGAGCTGGTTACAGACGAGGCGGGCACCGACTGCACCAAGGTCTTCCACGAGGCCGGCCACACGGCTGATGCTTACACCATACTCGCCAAATACAAAATAGGAGAACTACACGAAGTTAGTTTTTATTTATATTGGTTCATCACATGTATTTCTACTTTCCGTAGGCGAAAACATCGCTAAGCCTTTGAAAGTTTAAAGACAATAGATGTCTACGGTACACGACCGAATCTCTGGGGATAAACGGAATCATTCAGTTGGTGCTATTTAAAAAATTAAATTACAATACCTTTTCACTAATGTAAAAAGTGACGATCGTAGCGGAATAGAGGCTAAGTTCTACTCGTTGTCTAATGGAGTAGGACTTTACAAAAGACGCCACGTAAAATCATTCATTTCCATTTTGAACGTAAGTATTAAAGCTTATATTAATTATAGTGTTTGTTGTATGTTTCATTTTAGTAAATTTTTACATCCATTGTCTGCTTTCATTACCTGTTTTTTGATGTGAATAAAGTATACATTACTATTATTATCTAAGGGACACCTCAAGTATTTGCAATTTTCAAAATAGGACGTTTAAGCTGAATTTTGCTCTCTTCAACAATCCAATAGATAATTGACAATCGATTACGCTGAGTGGACGCTTGTTTCAATACAGTGGCACTTCATACAACAAGTTCAAACTCGTTCCAAATTGTCTTTCCAAGAGGTTTATTATATATAATATGTAATGGAGTTAAAGATTAGACATTTGTCGAAACAGTGGAATAAGTGGTAACAAGGTCAATTAATCATAATTTCAAACTTTAGTAAGGTATTTGTTATAAGTATACATAGTGTCGCAGAACCAAGTTTCTCCTTTTTTAATATTAATGGGGACTACCCATAAGTTATCAAAGATTGCAACAAGTTATAAGTTAAGTAGTGTGAAATGACCTTACGTAAATTCGTCCATTCGCATCTGGTGCCAGTATATATAATGTATGTGTAATGTGTATGTATGTATGTACCTAAGCGTTTCGAGTCCGCTTCGCTGTAAGCAAAAACATTACATAGCCTTTTATATCTGGTGGCCTGAAAATGGGTATGGCATATTTTCCGACTTCCTTTCCTAATATTCACTAAAAGGCATCGAGTTAGAAGGAGCGATTATATAATATATGGTAAATTACAGGAAGAAAAACATTACGATGCCAATGGAAAGAAGAAGAAAATAGTAGCTGTAAAACCTGATGGACAAACTAGAACTTGCTTAAATAAAGTCACGTGTGGTCTTCTGGGATAAAATAATTTAAGTACTGTAATTAAGAAATAAATTTAATTTATAAGTATTTTATGTTATTTTCTGGATGTTTTCTAAACAACATGTTTTAGAAGTGTATGTGTGTGTGATTTTGCATTACGTATAGGTTAATTATCGATTTTCAATCAGGTAACTGCTATTTATTTTATACACAAATTAATTTAACATTAGTGGAAAACTATTTGGATTGGAATTTAAAAAACATCGTCTTGGCCAATTACAGAACTTTATCGTTAAGGGACTATTTTAAAACAAATAGATATAAACAACTAAACAATTTAGGATTTTGAATCTTGCGTGAATTCACCAGCCTTAATGCCACTTTATCATTTAGAATTTAGATCCTTTGCATTCTTCCCTTTATATCCAATCCCCTCATCTCCCTCTCCCAATTATAAAAGAATATTATCACAACGACCATTATGGTACCTATAATTAACATCTACTACCTAAGTAAATGTAACTGGCGCCAAATTCGATCATGCTAAGATGTCAAGGACTCTCTAGATAAATGTTATAATGTTATAAATGTGGCCATTACTCTTTTCGTATCCTTTAAATGTTCTGTGAAGCGCAGCTTTCTAGTCTGCTGTTTTCAAATTGGGCTTATAAACAAAAAAAAGGATAGATGGCGATATAAAAAATATAAAAATTTATGTGTGTTAACTCTATGTGATGATTTGGAATGGGTGCCAAAAAGAACTAGGTACTGCCGATTACAATTCATACAAGTCTAGTATGAGACAGCTTTTAAAACCTACATATTTTTGGACATACATTAAGCCAAAGAGTAGTTTACCAGCCATAATATCTGATGGTGTTCCGTGTACGCAAAGAAGGTAATAACGGAGGAACCATATAGGAACCATTTTTCCAACATCTGCTACCGTTTCGCTAAACACGTTGCCTTTGTTTACAATAATATGTAGTATGTCTGAAAAGTATTAGGCCCAAAAGATTTAGCCAGCCAATTATATTTATAATAAACCGTGCCGAAAACTCACCGAGCCACTACTTTTTCATGTGTCACTTGTGAAAGAAATCAGGAGTAGGTAATTGGGAGCTTGGCGAGTGGCGACACATTCCTAGTTTACAAATTTCAATTGTCATCTTTGCAACAGCGTTTGACTCAAACGCCCATCTCCGATAACACTAAAACATTTCAAACGATGGTAGTCACCATTGCAATATGTCGCTGATATGATGTTTTGTCGCTGGGAAGTCCTCAACAAATCTTTTGGAATTCATAGACTTCTTTACCGAAACCTTAGCATCCAGAAGACAGTGTGATGCAATCTTAACTGACTTTAGCAAAGTGTTTGACAAATTTTCTCAAAGGCCACTTATTGAAAAGCTACACAGCTATGGGTTTTCAGGAGTAGGTATTATTAAAGCGGCTTAATTCATATCAAAAAAGCATAAAAATTATTCATTGTAAGAAACAGCAAATCCTTTGAGAATAGCTTATTACTCTCAAAAACAAACTTAATGATTTCTCCATTACTCCCTCGTTCTCCTATTTAACCTTTTGCCATTCCCTTCCGCAGATTCGTCCTAGGTTCTAAGGCTGATATTCCTAGGATGTGTAAGTTAGCTTAACAATTTTCCCGTACAATTTATCCCTTCCGCCTCTCTTTTACTCAGTTTCACAGAGGTTTATCTTTTTTAAAATTATTTTATATTTTATTAGAGTATAAATGTCCTGTGTTTGCCAGTTAAACGATATAGAATTATGTTTTTATTGTTAGTTTTATCTGTTCCTAGATGTAGGCTATGTAATGCCCGCTGGCAAACTTTTTTTTAATAAATATAATTTATAACAAATGACATATTGAAAGTAGGTACCTACTTATTTATGGATATGCTTACAACCTCGCTATGCTTAATTATTAAAGTATCAAAATTCAAAAATCATTTAATCATATAGGTAAAACATTGTACGCTTATGACTAGTCACTAAAGAAATACATATTAATGCTTCTAATTTTACATTTAGTGCCAGTTCTCAAATCAAGGGCGTAGAACGGAAGAGAAGAACTGGCAATAAACTCTCCGCCACTCTTTTTAATCGCCATGTTTTTTTTTACACAACATTTTTTATCAAGATATGATAGCAATTTACACAAGACAATTTTACGTATATCATTCACTAGCCGTTTCGCGCCCGCTTTGCTGGACGAATTAAAATAAATTTTATGTTTCATGATTTTATTTTTTTTCATATTTTTATTATTCTTCTTTTTAACTTCCCGCTAAGAAAATTGAAATATTTCGAAAATCGAGTTTTTAACAGATGTTGACGTTTAGAGGTTCTAGGAAGCCTCCCCGAATGTTTCCGCGGTGAAGTCCGTATGGATAAATTTTCATAAAAGTAAAACAGCAATAAAAAAAGGAACGTTGGAATTTAATAAATAAATAGCCATAAACCATCTAGGAAAAATTTCGCATCGAATGGTGGTAGTTTCATGTCGATACGATCAGTGGTTTAGGCGTGAAGGAGCCTCAAACGAAGACCATTTTTCTTTTATATATATAGATTAGAACTAATAAATTGCCCACAGAGCAATCTAGTGACACAAATACAAACTAAAATACATCCGAGTGCCCTTAAAGTTGTTTAATAAGAGGGTGTACCTACAGAGATATATGTATCTATCCTGTATATGTACAGGGAACTGCATACAAAGATAAACGTGAGATTTAAATACTTTTCAGTTCGAGACCGATATATAACGGGAAGGTACTTTTTATATTATGACCCCCCCTACAACTCAAAATGAGTAACGCCCTCTAGTGACAAACAAATTAAAGTAACGTTGCGCTGTATTTATCAATTATTAATTACCTATTGTATTATTCAATTTACATTTGAATCATTTACGATTTTATTTGGTATATACATAAATAAAATTCACATTTTATCCAAATCGTTTATTCAAGCAAATGAACATAATATTATGAACAAACTATAACATTACCTACTTAATGATATTTACATTCTCTTTCTTACTTATCACTCTAATTATTCTAAAATATAACTAACTTAACTGTTTGTGTGCAGAATATGCTTTCATTTAATTCAAATACAAAAATAAAAATCCAACTAATTCAACATATTGCATCAATTTACCATTAATTTTATAATTGAGATTTAGGTGATATGAAAATATATTCTGCATCATCTTTTTAATAATATATTACTATATTATGTCAATTACTTAACTTACATAATAAAAATTATAGATAAAATATTATATCAAACAAATAAAATGTTTGCTTATTTGATAGGAGTAAAGGCTATCCAGGCTAGGCTCAACCAGCATTCAAAACTAAATCCATGTTTATATCTGTAGGCTGACATGGAATTTCGTGACTTTTGTAGGTTACATTTAGATTCGGCGACTGACGCTTTGAATTTGATAGTTTTATAGTTAATCTATTGGTAAGGCCACAAAAGAACATCATCTGACTTTTGTGGTACCTATGTTTATAAGACAATTATAATAATTTATGTGATTTAAAAAGAAAACAATATGTGCCCACAACACTCAAGTATACATAGGCTTTGACTATTATAAATAGTAAAGCTGTTGACCAAAAAATCTATAAAAATTTACATTTTCGGATGCTCAATACATTTTTTAAATTTACCATTGAGTTACGGTTATATTGTCATTAATTTTTCAGTAACTATGAAAAATAATATAATATCTTTGCTTGCCATTATAATCATAATCATCCACATATTCAGAACAGTGGAGTGTCAACATACAAATAGCCTCATACAAGTTTCATAAATCAGCAATTCAACAGGACACAATTCTGAACCTATTTTAAATGATAAAATAACCACCACAACATTAACAATGGCTTGTCATATTAAAAACTAAAATAGTGCATATTTTATGTTATGTTCAATTATAAGTAATGCACTTTGTGTATTGTGACTTAATACACCAGATAATACAAGTATTAGAATTTTATTATTAGCCGCTGTGAACAGGACAACAAGAAAATGTAATAGGCAAAATAATATGAAATCCCTAGTCATTAAGTTTTAAGTTGCTGTATATAAAATATCTTGAATGACATGCGTAAAAAAAGACAATATGTTTAACAGCAGTAACATAGGTGGCAGATAATCTATTGTGACAAACCATGTAACCAGAACAATTATGTAAACATATTTGTTATTTCATCAAAATGCAAAGCAGAAATATATATTTAAACCATAACAACTAAATAAACAGTTTAAGTGCAAAAGGTTTCAAAATATGAACTTTTAAGGTTTTTCTATAGTGTCACAAGTACCAGAAAACCTTGCACCTTTTATGAAGGAGTAAGACACTCAAGAACACTTCACTGTGTGGTCAGCTTATTCACTGCTGTTGCCCATGCTGTGATTGGTTAGCAGACTTTGTGATTACTATTGTTTGCTTGTTACCAACTCCTGATTTACCCAGTTGGAGAACATTTGATGGTAAAGTGATTATCTTATTACCTCCTACAGTATTTGCCGATACTAATTTAACAATTGTTGCTCCCGGAGAAATTCCCTGACCCTGTGCCCCACTAGATACTACAGGTCTATTTTGCATCATTGCCATTTTAGGCACAGTTGCAACGGTCATGCCAGTTGAGGTCTTGACTAATGTAACATATTGTGGAGCAGAACTTGTTTGTGCATGGGCACCTGGTGTCTTCTTTATAATAACAGGTATACCTGCATTGCCACCAGCTTGTCGTAGAACTGTCGCACCGGTAGCACTCAAACTGCCTGCCACAGATGTTACTACTGTGCTTTGTTCACCAGATTTTGCAGTCACTATTTTATACACAGGAGCTTTGCCCCCTTGTCCCGTCAGAGCACCACTAGCTATCTGTATAGTTCCGCCAGCACTGCCAATAACAGGTAAATTGCCAGAACCTAGTTTAACAGGGACACCTCCAGTTATTTTTGTTTGCATGCCACTTTGCATAGGGACTCCTCCTGCAGATTTAACCAATACATTGCTTGTACCAAGTTTAACATTGCCAGCACTTAACTTTAATGGAACATTTGAAGCAACTTTTTGAACACTATTTGCTATCTTACCCTGGAGATTTGCAGTGCCAATCTTTAGTGTGTTACTGGCCAATTTTACAGTATTACCCGCACCAAGTTTTACAGGGACTCCTGCAGATGTACCAGTCTTAACTTGTACGAAACGTGGTGTGCTAGATCCAACAGGAGAACTGAGAACAATCTGTGTATTAGACTGAGGGGTTGAAACACGTACTGTGCCAGGAGTGCCTACTCCACTCACAATTCTTGTAACACCTTGTGGTGTAATTGCTGCCACTTTAATTTGTTGCGATGATCCAGGAGCAGGTGACTTGGCAATTGTTTTCCCAGGATATGACTGTTTTATTGTTGGAGGGCTTGGAGCTATCTTTACACCAGCAGATTGTCCTGGTACTTTAATGGATCCAGATACTATTTTTTGAGGTGTAGTATGTGCAGGAGTTGCAGCAGCAATTGTTGATCGGGTAGGTATCTCAGGTGTAGGTAATGTTGCAATTGGGGATGTCAATCCAAAGGCCTTTGCTGCGTCTGGTTGAGATGCCACAGGAGATGCAGGTGGTGGTGCTGTTACAGGCTCAGATGCAGATGGGAACCTAGCAGGGGTCACTTTACCACATTTTTGGACTTGCAGTAGATAAGTTGTAACTGTATTCATAGCTGGCCAACACAACTCTAAAGAAGTAGTGCCAGCTCTTACAAGAGCAACACGTCCTGCTTGTGGTGGAACTCCTACTTCTAAGTACCACAAATCCTTGCAGCAAATCTGGTTATTCCATGTTTTCCTATAACCATCACGACCTGACCAAATATATAGTCTAGTTTGTATAGCTACTGCACTATGGCCAGCGCGAGCTCTAGGGACACTTTCTACAAAGTTGTCCAGAGATATATCATCCCATGTCATAGTCTCCAAGTTAAGTGATGCAAGGGTGTTAGTACACTTCCATTCCTTTTCGTGAGTTGCTAATTTAGATTCATCAGGGACAAGTGGTACCCAACCACCATACACATACATGTGGTGTCCAATTACAGTAGCTGTGTGTAAGGAACGTGGTAGTGGTGATATACCTCCTAATTCAGGTCGAGTCCATGACATACTATCTATATCAAGGATCCAGAGATCTCCTAGTCGGGAACCACTCATTCCCCCATAGATTATCAGTGATGATTTCCCAGTATTTTTATCTGTATAAGCCACACCACTGTGAGATTCGCGTGGGGGCGGCGATTGACCATATGTTAATGGTATGTCCCATACAGTCATTGACGAATTTGGATACAGTTCCAATGTATATAAATCATTAAGGTAGCTCGGAATATTGTTCTTTGGGTCATCACTCTTATTAGCCAGTCCACCAAACAAATACACTTTACCGTTAAGAAGAGTAAAGCTATGTCCCAAACGCGGGCAAGGAGGCAGTCCCTGCTTTGGTGGAAGTGGCTTCAAATGCTTCCATTCCCATCTGGAGGCCTGTAGTTCATAAAGGTCGTTAGAATACTTGCCATACTCCACCATGCCGCCAAAAACCAGAAGACGTGTTCCGTCCACGACGAAACCATAGGCAGCGCATCCCGGAGGGACCTCACCTTTGGTAACAGGCACGAACCATTGGTTTGTTGTAGTATTGAATACGTGAAGCTCATGAACTATCCCTTCGTTTCCGCCGCCGAAAACTATCATCAAATCCTTAATGGCGACCGCCCGATGACCATGTCTAGGCCGTGGTTGGGGTCCGGTAGGATTGTACACTTTTTTGCCACTTAAGTACAGCGTTTTCCTTCATTTTTACTAAACATTTGTCAGTAAACTCTTTTCACCGTATGTATCGCTCAGGATGCGTATCTAGAGCATAGACAAGGAGAAACGTCGTAAATAAGCTTTGTAGAAAATATTCGGTTAGGTTGAAACTACATAAGACAATCTATGTCGATTATCTCTTTCGCACGCACGGTTCTCGCCTATGAGTAAAAAAGAATCACCCTATGGAGCTTCGACTGTATAACAAAAATGGCGTTAGCAACAGCAATAGCAACTTACAAAAGGGAGAAAAATGGCGTCGGCCGTCAAGATTTTGTCTATGTTACTGTATAGATTATAAATATCAATCAGTTTTTATATTTTTGCATAATCTGAAAACAAAGGACGTAAGAGAAAGCCTTACAGATCAAATATTTTAAAATTTATATACAGCTTTAAAAAAAAATATGGAGTTTATTATAACATAAAAATGAAATATTATTGTCTTTATGGCTTTTTGTTCAATATTTAAAAAAATATTAGTAATTCCATCCTTGAATCGATAATATTAATAAATATACATATATTTCTTTCTGTGTTATATAATTTAAACCTCGTTAGTCTTTCACAGTACTATAAAGAATAGACATATGTAAATTTTACGTATTAAAACACTGGCGCTTAGAATAGTTTTTAAGGCTAAGGTTGGTACTCATGTAAAAAAGGCGGGAAATAGACTTTGCATTTAATTATAGATTATGTTACTATGCAGTATCTCTATTTGGCTTGGAAGACTACAGAATAAAATTAGAAGTTTACGGAATCATGGACGACATAGAATAGAAACCAAGCTAAAGTAGAAAATGAAGTATTATTTTACGTAGGTTGGCAGAAGTATTCTTAGTATTTTTTTTGACATTTAGCGAAAATAAATAATTTCGGGCGCACATTTCACAAATATTTTGTGTTATGAATGTTAAAATTTTATCATAAAAATTTCTAGTACAGTTTCTTGAAATATTTTTTTATGTACACATATTGTTTCGAGTAAAATCGAGTATTGTTATTTACGGCAATAGTTTTTTAGTGTTGCTGCGTTGGCAAACATTTTCCCATGTTGGGTAAAATTAATCACAAAAACCGTTTGTTTGGAAATATATTGGGCAGTTGCCGTGTGTTATGATGTTTTATCACTTAAATAATAATGCTGTAAAATATACAAGGCGAACTGTAGATTCGTCTGCATGCGCCTCGGAACTTAGCCTGCGTATGCTTACATTTAACATTATTATTACGAGATATGAAATGAATGAAATTCTAAGACGTGGGTTTGTTTGTCACGAACTAAGAAAAACCGGCCACGGCGACAAAGACAAAAAATGATCTATGTTCCTGGAGTCCTACCATAAGCTCTTATTGCGAGCCTATTGACAACAGAGATGTATCGCTTATTCGTACCATGACATCGAAAAAACGAGAGAGTTTATGTTCCCACGTGACCATTAAGGAATTACATATTTTGACTATGGCAAGTCAATACATTTATGAGAATATTTTGTGTGTGCGGAAAAATATAGATATCTTTAAAAAGAATAGTAGCTTCCATAATTATAGTAATCGTAATAAAGACAAAATTAGCGCACCAACCAGAAGGCTGCATAAAACGAGTAATTCTTTCCAAGGAAATTATATACGTTTTTTCAACAAAATCCCTAGTGAGATACAAGTGTTGTTAATAAATAAATTTAAATCGTACATTAAAGTAAAACTGCTTGCTAAGGCCTATTATAATATAAATGAATATTTAAACGATCCTAGTGCTTGGATATAAGTTGCTGCAGTATAAATAGGTAACGCGACTGAATCTCTCCGCTGCACTTCCAGACTCCGGGGCGATCGTCAACATCCACGACTGTTTTAATGTAATGTGGGAACAAACCGTGATCCATGTGGTATCAAATTATTTTAGTATTATTTTCTTATGTAGCCAAGTCCACATTTCAAGGATCGTCATGCTCGCTTAAATGTCATTGCTTGTGGCGGCGTCCATGCGTCGGGTTCTCTCTCCCTAAAATATGGCGAGGGGGCCGATGGCTGGCCATGCGTCATACTCGTGAACGGGTGCTACTTGTGGTGACTGGTCGTACTTGAATTCGTGTATGCGGTGATGCTAATTATTTCGACTATGTGTTTGCGTGTTGTTCCCACGAGAATGTAAGTGTGTGCTCCTATTTCACCATGCCTCCTGCTGATAGAGGACAAGTCTTTGTTTTTAATTTATATTATTATTATTAATTACTTAAGATGTCATGTGGAACATGGTGTATTGATTGCAGCTCCTTACAAACGGGTAACAGTTTTGAATACCATCGCACTTTTTTGACGATACTAATTATTTAGGAGTCTCGGAGGACCTTCATTGGAACACCTCCAAGTGAGTTTTGCTCCGGAAACGCGTCAAAAATTTTATAAAGATTTATAAAGTAAACTTTGCACTGTAAAAATAATTACCGCTAGTCTAGCATAAACCACATTCAAGATGGCCGATTAAGTTTATAAAATTAATAGGGATGTGAAAAATAATCGATTTTTTTAAAAGTGAAAATCGATTTTTGTATTCGATTTTAATATTAAAAATAATTGAAAATTCGGCGACCAAATATTCATATACTAACTCTAACCTAACCAATCTAAATAATATTTTTTTTTGTGGACAGCTCCGATCTAAATAGTAATTGTTTATTCAAGCCTCGGCTTCTCGGCGTCCTGGTCGCCTTCGGCGACCAAATATTCATATACTAACTCTAACCTAACCAATCTAAATAATATTTTTTTTGTGGACAGCTCCGATCTAAATAGTAATTGTTTATTCAAGCCTCGGCTTCTCGGTGTCCTGGTCGCCTTCGGCGACCAAATATTCATATACTAACTCTAACCTAACCAATCTAAATAATATTTGTTTTTGTGGACAGCTCCGGCGCTACGGGAAATGCAGCCCCTCCACCCTTGCGTACCAAAGCACAGGCATTTTATTCAAGCCTCCGCAACCTCGGCTTTTTGGTCGCCTTCGGCGACCAGCCTCAGCCGCTACAGCTTTCATAATGCCTGTGCTTTGTTACAGCGGGTGGGGGCTGCTCTTCCTCCGCGCCTCCGATTATTTATATACACTCTAGGGGTAAGACAGACAAGACCACGTGGATAGTGGGGTGCTCTGATTCGGTTTTGGGTACTTTTTGGATATTAAAGTAAACACTTTATTCTAGTAAAAATTAAATAATATAGAAAGTTGCAAACAATGAAATACAAGTACTAATTAGAAAATACAGACGAGTAGGTATCGATAATTTCAAAAAATTTCGGAACCCTATAATCTATCAACACGAAATTAGGTTAATTTCAATGTTGATTATTCTATAACTATAAATTTCAAAAATGAGGAAATAATCGATAAATAAATAAAACGATTATTAACAATCGATAAATTAAAAACACGATTTTTTTAAGTGAACGTCACATCACTTATAACCAATAGAAAAGTAGAAAATGGCGGATTGTTTACAAATTTTAATACATTACACAAAACTTTAAATTTTTTATAAAAATATTTAGACGCGTTTCCGGAGCAAAACTCACTTGGAGGTGTTCCAATGAAGGTCCCCGGACACTCCTAGATAATTAGTATCGTCAAAAAAGTGCGGTGGTATTTAACACCCAACCCAACGAGGGCTTTGAATTTATTTAGTGATATTACTCTAATTTCGCTTGGGAGTTTGTTGTAAAAACGAATACAATTTCCATATAAGGAGTGGTTTATCTTTTGGAGCCTGGTAGTACATTGAGTACAATAGGATAGGTGAACAGCAATTCCGACGTCAGAATGGACGGTCACTAAAATTGTTGTGGTTCTCCCAAGATAGGTACTAAGGAAGCAATTGTCTCGTAGTAGGAATTAAATAGAAGCAATTGGGAAGTAATTTTTAAACGACATTTTAACCTTCTATACGACTAGTGACCGGCCATTCTGACGCTCACTCTCAATTTAGCGAGTTTGTCTGGTTTAGGCTGTAAAAAAAGTAAAATTATTTATATGATAATTCATTAAACTAATGTTAACGTACAAACTAAATTTGTACAATTTAAAGGAATTCATTTTTATTATAGGTAGTTACTTATGAATCATAATATGTTATGATTATCGAGTTATAAGTTGATTTATGATTTCTTTTGCAAAGGGTTTTATATCAGGAATTCACTTCGATATAGGTATTTATTTTTAGGAAACATATTTGTGAACGATCATATTTATAAGTTAAACAATTTGTAAAACTATTTTTTATAAAACTGAAATTTTGTATATACCAAAATATTGAAAGCACGTATTTAAAAAAATGTAGACTATCATATCATCAGACAACTTTACGTCTAAAAAGTAAAATATATACAAAGAATAGTTTTATATTAAATAAATAGATATGTATTAAGACATAATAGCTTATTGTGATTGTTTAATAACTTAAAATATTTTTTTATTTTTATGGAAACATCTGTCGAAGGAAGTTCGACAGTGAAATTTCAAAACTTAGAAACCTCAAAGAAAAACAACGCGGGAGTCCTTCGAATTTGGCGGGCGCGGATTTTTGTTTGTTATTTGCCTGTACCTGGTCGTTGCACTGATACTCCTTCAATGCCTGTTCCTTCCATCCAGTATTTTTCCTAAAGCCCCCCACACAAATTGGTAGGGCTAGTTATGACGCCGATGACCACGGGCAGTTTGTGGTACATATACAGAAAATACAGCTCATGATGATGGTACAACATTACACCCAGTTGTGTTTGGCAGATTTTTAAAAAACAATCTATTCAAAAATATTATTAATGGAAATATAAAACATATTGGCAAAAATAAAATGACACTCAATAATTATACAGACGCTAACAGCTTTGTCTCTTCAAACTACTTAGCTGCTAACAACATGAAGGCTTTTATCCCAACTTTTAACATAACGAGGATGGGTTTAGTTAGGGGAATCCCAACTGAGTGGTCTCTTGAGGATATTATGGAGATCACTAATGTACCCGCCGGGTGTGGGGAAATTCTGAAACTCAGAAGACTAAACTATAAAGTCATAAACAATACACCCACATGGAATATATATACCCAACTACCCAGTGGTTTAATTGTTGCCGCTTTGGGCACACCAAGGTCCAATGCAGGTCAAAGCCCAGATGATACAAGTATGGTCACACTGGAGATACTTGTAATGTGGAGGAAGACTGTGGTTTTTGCTGCTTATGTTATGGGCTGCACTTTGCTTCAAGCAAAAAGTGCCCAGTATGTGAGATAAACAGATATTAAAGTAACAATGGTAGAGAATAGCTTATCCTTTGTTGAAACATCAAAATTACACCCCCTATTTGTAAAGTATTTGCTGATGTTGTATCCTCTCTCCCAAATCTCAAAATCTCTTCCTGGTGGAAATACAGTATTGCCTGGTTCACCACCTCCATGTACAATATCTTATAAAAAAACAGTCTTTACTAAACCCAGAACTCTTTCTCAACACATTAAAGGTTTCAATCATGTAGCACATGGGTCTCTTGTAAGGGACTGCTATATGCCAGAGCCTTCTAATGGATGTGCATTACTAATGACCTCTAGTGCAAATTCACAACGGACAATAGCAGAGTTAATTACTACATTAATCAAATTACTTTCTAACCTAATTTATCCATACCATCCCATGCTGCTAATTTAATCCATACTTACACTGATATTAATAATGGTCAACATGGACAGGTTAGTACAATGTAACTGCCGCAAGATTATAAACAAAAAGCATGGAACTATACACCATAAATACTTATAATCCTTTTATTTCTTCTGTATCTGAAACCTGGCTAATGCCAGATTATGTATTCAAAATCCCTGGTTATTCATGCTTAAGAGAAGACAAGGCTGATGGATATGGTGGTGTTTGCCTACTCATCAGAAACTAGCACCTTTTCTTCCTTCACATAGTGACAGCTTTTCTATCATTGCAGCTATTGTTGATGGTATCTGTTTTGTCCCTATGTCACACATCTTGGGGTAGTTCAGTTTCTAATAGTTATAGGTATGAATTATTGGATATCTTAGAAATGTATAACTTGTGCATTTTAAACTCGGGTTCTCCAACTCGCCTCACAAAGACCGGTGAAGCGATTAGTGATATTGACTTGTCCATCTGTACTTCCAGTTTAGCATCTTCTCTATCTTGGTCTAATTTGTGTTCCCCTTACAATAGTGATCATTATCCCATTATCATTTCATTTCCCTGTAAAAAAGAGAGTAAAACGTTTATACAATACTCTCGCCTCAAACACAAAACCTTAGACCCTAACAAATAATGGAGTCAATAGTTAGTAGAAGAAAAAATTAATAGTTGCTTTTTTTTTTTAATTTTATGACCTGGTAACATAGACCTTTAAGTCATGACTTATTTGGAATATGTATGTTCATTAATTAGGCGACACTAACTTCACTTCACTAAATTTCATCACTTAAATTGTTTGAATTGTATTTTTTATGTAATTATAAATAGGTTTATAGGATGTTGGATCTTTTAGTAAAACGTTGAGGGGCGGCGGGCGGGAGTAAGAAACACACTTATATGCATTGGTAACACTAAGTTCACTAGCCAGCACAAGTCTTTGAATGAACTTTGGCAATCAAAAATAATGTGGTGGATCGTTCCTTCTTCTGCTTGACAATGATTACATTGATTGTTTGAAACAATCCCAAGTCTGGCTAGGTGTGACGGCGCAATATTATGACCAAATCTCAATCTGTTTATTGTTGTAATGAAATCTCTACTTTCACTAGATTTCAATTTGTCATACCATGGTTTAACAGGTATGTTATCTTGGATACTTCCATACCACTTTCCCTTGTTTTCCTGGTCTTTCTTCCACATTTCTGTCCACAGAGTGTAAATGTTTTCCTTAATATTTAGAAAATAATCAGTAAAAGGAACGGATGGGGCCTCATAGCCTAGCGGTCTTATTAAGTGGCAGCTAGGTGAGGGGTACCGGGTTCGATTCCCGGTTCGAGTGCAAGTTTTAATTTAATTCAAATTTGTTCTCGGCCTTTGGGAGGGTTGTGCGGTACCGGGCGAGTGCTTAAACCGTACATAAAGGGCACTGTCGAATTTCTAAAAGACGAGCACGAATTATAAAAAGTCCTATACTTGACGCTGGCTAATGCACAAATGGTGCCAGAGCCATAAAAAAAAAAAAAGGAACGGATACTGAGTCTGTAACGTCAATACTGTTTATAGCCTCACGGCTCACATCACACATGCAGCTTTGTCAGCTTTTTCGTTACCGGTTTTTTTTTTTTTAATGGCCCGCACGGTTTGTGCATTGTGGCCCAGGGTCAAAAACAGGTAATTAAACTATAAAATAAAAGATCGATTCTTATAAATCTACATACAAAAGGAGTGTAAGAAAACATATTTACATATATTTACGTTCATATTGTCTAAATTTTTATATTATTACTTAAGATAAAAGCTGCGAAAAGTTTATATACATATGGGTTGTAAAGTTGAAAGTAAACTTTATATGGATGAAGGGAATGGAATTTGAAGGGAAAAGAGACCTTCGAGAAGAGCCGACCGGTCGCGCCGAGGACAAACAAACATTATGTGATTTAAATCACCTACATCATATCCGCATTAAATTTTGACGTAAAAATATTTACATTAGGACGAGAAAAATAAATAGACACTATACAAATTTTATTTACAATAGCAGCAATGACTGATAAGTCATCTCCGAATGAGGGAAGTGAAACTAAGGAATAGGGGAGATAATTTTTAATGACTATGGCAACACCACCATAGCCGTCAGGTCTGTGCTGTCGGAGAATAACATACCTAACCTGGAATTCGAAAAGTCAATTCCGGGCGAAGCCATGTTTCCGACAGAGTTGAGACAAATGGTTCAAATTTATTATGCAAATGGATTAAATCATTTTTATTGCAGAAAGCGCTTCTGCAATTCCACTGGATTATTTGTTCGCGTTCGTGACTCATAAGCGGATTTTAATTTAGTTAAGGAAGCAATCATTTGGCGACGTTGTTCAGTTACGTTGTTGTCAGAGTTAGGATTGGATTTAATTTCAGTAAAAAATTGGATTAAATCAGAGATTATGTCCTTATTGTTAACGTTACTGTTTATTAAAGCGACCCCGTTAGAAGGAGCTGGAGCGTCGTAGTCCTTTATCAAATTGAAGTGTTCTGTTTTGTTATACCCCAGTCGTTTTGGTTTGGGGGATGTTGGTTTAGCAAATATTGTTTTCTTATAAGATCTACTATCCGACGGAATCGAGGGAGAGAAAGGCGATACATGTGGGACAGGAGAATTGGGAGTATTCTGGATGTTTGATAACTATATCAGCAAAAGATTTTGAAACTGGATCATACACTTTATTTGCTTCTGCGTAAGATACACATTTCTGAGCCATATACAATTTAATTTTAGTCTGCCGTTCATATTCTGGACACTTTCTGTTTGTAGCAAAGTGTAGACCAGAACATAGACAGCAAGACGCGGTATCATCTTGTATGTTGCATGTGTCCCCAGTATGGCCATGGCCACACTTGTAACAGCGGGGCCGAGAGTTACAATTAGACTTAGTATGACCAAATCGGCAACAAGAATAGCACTGAATAGTGGGATATGCATAAAGTTCCACGGGCAGGGCATTGTAGCAGACAAATACATGTTTAGGTAGGGTTTGACCATCGAAAGTTATTACAATAGTCTGTGATGGCTTCCACTCAGGAGGGCTGCTGTTCCGTACTTTATAATTTAGTCGTCTAATTTTTATAATTCCTCCGCTGCCTACAGGCAGAGAGATGTTGTCTAATGTCTCTTCGGGAGACCATTCCGCGGGAACGCCTCGCACCAGGCCCATTCGGGTCACATTAAATGAGGGAATAAAAGCTTTGTAATTATTTCTTGCCAGGCAAGGGTTATTAATAAATTCGTTTGCACATTTGTGATCTGAGAATGATAGGGAAATTCGGTTTCTGCCTATCCTTTTGATGCTACCATTAATTATGTTTTTAAAAGAATTTTTCTTGAGGAAATACCCAAAGTGGACGGGGTGTAGGGAGGAGATGTCCGTATCTAAAGAAACTTTTTGCGCATGAACTACGAATGGCCCTATGTCACAGGTCTCCTAAAACGTTCGGCCTATAGGATTTTTTATGAACTGAGAAACATCTGATGGTGGTGATGGGTGCTGTTGGGTTTTAACAGTTGTAGTATCTACACGGTCTACTTTGTTCTGAAAACTATCTAGAGCATTAGCGTTCTTAAGCCCAGTATACGTATATATTGAGGGAATTTCAATTTCCGGTATTTGGCACGAACAATCAGTGTCCTTTTGTTTGTTCCGACGCTTCGACGGATCGAATCTTTTTTTCCTTTTGTTGCAGTGTTTGCAAATTTTACCTAGTCGCATTCTTTTTCGGTCATTCCGTTGATCCACATCTATATCTACACTGGACTCGTCCAGTTTAAAAAATCTATTTTCTATTATAATATTACAAGCTACCTCGGGGGCGAGCCCCCGATATCCGGGGCTCGTCCATTTTTTCGCCTGACTCCAGGCCTTGAGGAAAAAAGTATACAAACTTACCAGATACTGTAGAATATATACACAAATGAATAAACTAAACTATTAAATTAAATTACTACATACAAATATATACAAACTGATCTTTTATACAAGTTAAATTAAATTTAAAAATTTCACAAGAAAAAACACTCCCGCCACGACCAACGTTTCCGCGCTTTTTTCCGTTACCGGTTATAGTTGCTTAGAAGATAATTTCACAGATAATAATTATGTCAAAGCTGTTTTGTTAGAATCGGCTGATAATGTTTTTTTTTTTTTATAGAACGGGGGCAAACGGGCAGGAGGCTTACCTGATGTTAAGTGATACCGCCACCCATGGACACTCTCAATGCCAGAGGGCTCGCGAGTGCGTTGCCGGCCTTTTAAGAATTGGTACGCTCTTTTCTTGAAGGACCCTAAGTCAAATTGGTTCGGAAATACTTGTGGGCAGCTGATTCCACATAGTGGTGTTGCGCGGCAAAAACTGCCTTGAAAAACGCTCAGTTGTGGAACGGCGGACGTCGAGGTGATACGGGTGGAATTTCGTATTATGTCTCGACGTCCGATGATGAAACTCAGCTGCAGGTATTAATCCGAACAACTCCTCTGAACACTCTCCATGGTAAATGCGGTAGAAGATGCAGAGTGACCCCACATCTCTACGCAACGCCAAAGGAT